TTGGATCACTGCCCGCGTGCTGGCACGGCCTGGCCTATACAGGACCTGAAAGCACCTTCTGACCACTGCCCCGTTTTCCTGGCGTTTTCCCCCTGGACCCCTACTGGCACCCAAAGGATCCCCACGTGGATTGCCCGCCACCCTCACTTTGAGCACATCCTGAACCTGGTCTTGGATCCTGAGGCCCTTTCGGAGGATCTGGAGTGTAAGCTGGAGGAGATCAAAGAAGCGATGAGGTACTCTGCCCAACAGGTCCGGCACTTTATTTCCGATCGAGGTGCCAAGACGGATGAGGAGAAGGTCGCGTGCATGCTCCTGGTCCTTCGTGGTGTTCGCAGAGGGGATTCGCTGAAGATTTCTCGTGGCATATCTGGTTTTCCTGGGCTTAAAGATTTCATCTCTGCTGATGATGCGTGGGTTGATCGGTCTGGCTTCGACCTTCTGCTCAACCGGCTAATGAGCAACATCTTGGCAGTTCGCGAGCGCGAGTTCCGCTCTGAACATGCCGTGGAGGGACCTGCTGGTTCCGCACGCTCTGCTGCCAATATCGCCCGTGTCCGTCGGCTTGCCCAGGCTTGGAGAGCGACTGGTAGGCAAGTTTACCTTAAGGCCATCACCGATCCTGATGGCAACACCCAGCAGAATCCAGATGACTGTGCACGTCTGCTCTGCTCATACTGGGGGGAGATTTTCAAAGCTAAGCCAGCGGATGAGGATGAGATTGCCAAGCTGACATCGCTCCTTACCCCTATTTCTCAGGATGATGATCAATATGCTGCTAATGATAAATGTTTCTACCCGTGGATTCTCCCCGAGGAATGGTTTTCATCCATTATTGCTGCCAAAAAAGACACCACCCCTGGGCCCGACGGCATCCCATATGCAGCTTGGCGAGCATCTGGTGAGATCGGGCGGTCTGTGCTGTGCCAGGTTTATCTCTCCCTCATGAATAGCGGCGCGCTGCCCAGCGAGTTCAACGCTTGCAGTGCCGCGTTCCTCCCCAAGGGGCACGTGCCCGACGCTGGAGTTGTCACAAGAGTTCCTTCGGCCACACGCCCTCTGTCTCTCTCCAACTGCGACAATAAAATCATCAGCTCGGCCATTGCTGTACCTTTAGGGAAGGTGGCGGAGGACAAGGTGGAGGGGTCCCAGAGGGGCTTCATCAAGGGCCGACAGATGCTCGACAACATCCTTGAGGTTGATGCCAATTTAACTATATGGAGTTCCATGTATGATTGTAGGCAAGCAGGCGCAGCAATGTTCGATCTGAAGGCCGCGTTCCCCTCGGTCCACCACGCGTTCATCTTCGCTGCGCTCAGGGCACTTGGCATCCCAGAATATGTCGTCCGTGCTATCTCTGCTCTCTATAGTAACTGTACTATGTACGTGGTCTTCTCGGGCTCGGAGAAGCATCTTATTATGGTGGAAAGAGGTGTTAAGCAAGGGTGTCCTTTAAGTGGTGTGATATTTTGTATATGTTTTGACCCCATCATCCGTCGACTGCAGCAACTAGCTCTCAAGATACCTCTGTCTCTCAACGCGTTTGCCGATGACCTCTGCGTCACGAGCTCAGACCTTGTGGCCATTCTCCCTGAGCTGCTGCGGCACCTCGTGACGCAGTCTGCGGGCACGGGCCTGCTTCTGAACCTTGAGAAATGTCAACTGGTTTTTCCTGATCGTGATACTTTTGCCCGTGCGATTGAGCTCTGCAGACGTGCAGGTGTCAAGGTTCGTCGCTTCATCATTGGCCGCAATGGGTGGTACCTAGGCGTGGGGGTGGGGATCGACAGTGCTGAGAGAAGTTGGGGACCCGTCCTGGCCAGTCTCAAAGAGCGTTCGCTGCGGGTGAAGAGTTTGAAGCAGGGCCTGTCCATCAGCATCCAGGGGTACAACACATATGCTCTCTCCGTCATAGGTCACTGTGCCCAAGTCCATGTTCCTGTCCCTGCTGCTCGTCACATCGAAAAAGATTCTCTTCAGCTTCTCACTTGCTGTCCTCGTCATGCTTTCCCACCGGTGTCACTGCACTGTTTAAATGGACTTGGGCATGATGTTCGTGCCCGTCGCCTTGAGGTATATGCACGAGCCTGCCTTCTCCGAGCAGCCACGCATAGTTCTGTCTTTTTGTATTATGATAGGTGGATTCAGGCGGAGGATGGGGGTGATCATACCTGTATCTTATGGAGGCTTAAAGATATGGCGAAGCATTCTATTATTGTTCGGATGTCTCGGGAGTATCACGCCTTTTACAATCTCCGCACGATCCCGCCGATGAGGCCCAACCTTGTGCAGGGCTGGATCACCAAGCAGTTACTCGATATTAACCAGCTCCCGCCCTGCTCCGAGATCATCCTCCCTCGGGTGGAAAAGTGGCATGGTCGTGGCAACGTCCCCTTGCATGTGTGCGAGTTGATTGTTATGAGGCTGAATTTTATCCATAAATACCTTCCCACTTATATCTGCACGTCTTTACTCAAGTCCTTATTTAACGGGTGGAATACGACTAGGAGGTACAGGTGTGGTTCAGGCAATTGTCGAATGGGGTGCTACTCAGTGGGGGGAGATGACATCCTACACTATGTATGCTGTCCTGTGGCTCTTGATTATCTGAAGCATCATGTTCCTCTTGTGCCTGCTGATTATGGTTCTGAGCCCCTCTCCTCCTTCCTGCCCCATCTTTTCCCTCCCGATCGGGAAGCCATCCTGTCCTGTGCCATCGCTCTCGATGCAATCCATGCCACTTTTCAATCCCTTCGTGCCTCGCCTCTCCCCCCTTCGATCGCTCGGACGCGCGGCCTGTTGGCCGCGCGTCTGCGCACTACTGCACGACGGTCGGCGACAGCGACCACGCTCCTCCGAGGCGCGCGCCCCACCGCCGTGCCACCGCCACCCCCTTCGGAGGGAGGATGATGCTATGGACACAGTCGGACTCGTTCTTTCTCTCCCCTTCGCGTCGTGCCCGCTTGCCCTCTTGTCCCTTGCTCGCGTCTTGTCCGCGTGCCCTCCCCTTGGTCGGTGCTACTCCTCCTCCTCCTCCTCCTCCCCCTCCCTCCTCCCTCCTCCTCCTCCCTCCTCCTCCTCCTCCTCCTCCTCCCTCCTCCTCCTTGCCTCCTCCTCCTCCCCCTCCTCCTCCTCCTCCTCCTCCTCCTCCTCCTCCTCCTCCTCCTCCTCCTCCTCCTCCTCCAAGGCAGACGCCTGCAAGTGAGGTGCGATCCCAGGGCCCGCCGCGCGGGAGGCCACATCGGGGCCCGAGCCGCAGGGGGCCCCAGGCACCCACCCCGGCAGGTGGTGCGGCCCACGGGGCCGGCGCGGGCGGCACGCCCCGCCGGGGGGGGGGCCCGAGGCGTGGGGCCCGAGCGCCCCCCGGAGCGTGCTGCCCGCCGCAGGGCCAGGTCCCTCCTCCCTCCTCCTCCTCCTCCTCCCTCCTCCCTCCCCCCCTCCTTCCCTCCTCCTTTTCCTCCCTCTCTCCCTCCCTCCTCCTCCCTCCCTCCTCCTCCCTCCTCCTCCTCCTCCTCCGCCTCCTCCTCCTCCTCCTCCTCGTCCTCTTTCTCCTCCTTCGTACAGTGCAGGCAGGAGCCCCCGAGGGCGCGCAGCCAACGAAGGGAGCGGAGCCGTGCTCTCTCGTCCACGCCCGCTGCCTGTCGTCTCGCCTGCTGGCCGCCCGTCCTGTGTCCTCTTCGGCTTCTGTTCCTGGCCCGCCTGCGTCCACCGTCGGCGCGCCCCGGTGGGGACGCGAGAGGGGGAGAGCGCCCTCTCAGAGGGCGGCGGGGCTTCTCAGAAGCCCCCCCCCGGTCTCCCGAGAAGCCCGCCGTGGCCTCGGCGGAGGCTCAGACAGCTTCTCAGCAGGCCGGAGGCATCCTGAGCCTTCTGGAACAGGCCCACCCCCTCTGCCCTCCCCTCCTGGGCGCGCCGCCGACGGCTGCCTCTTTCCGCGCAGCCAGGGCGCGGAAGCAAGGACCGCGGAGCGCTCAGGAGGGGCTCCAGTCTTCGGGCCGCTCCCCAGAGCCGGATCGGAGAACCCCTCCGTGGCCGAGGCTCGCCGTGGCCAGAAGAGCCCCTCCGCTCCTCGCAGTGGAGGCGGCGAGATAGGGACCACTTTGGGTTCGGAGGGGTTGTCGCTGTGCCTGTTGTCCTTCCATGGCTGTTCCTTTAGGCCCTTGTTTAGCGTTCCTTGTTCCAGCAGCTTGGGCCTCGTTATCGCCCGTGGGTGCCCCGGCGCTGCGGCCCAGCTGCTGCCATGGATCCCGCTGACGGGGCCGGCCGCGCCAGCACACCCAGGTGAGAAGTCTTCCGCCTCAGTGGTCTCTCCTCCCCTCCCTCCGCGGCCGCCCCTCAGGGGCGGCCTAACCGACCCCCAGCAAACCATCCCCTTCCGTGACGTCCCCCTCGCCTCGCCCCAAGACGTAATTATGTATGCGGCGGGAGGGGAACTCGAAAAGCGAGGATCATGCCACGGAAAGGGATCTTCTGCCAGGGGTCGGTCAGGCCGCGCCCGAGCCCCGTCTGCCCTTCCTCCGCTCCTGCACGCTGGCCGATGCGTTTCCGGTGCCCGCGTTCCGGCCTGGCGCCGGTGCAGCAACTCTGCCTCGCCGCCGGCGAAAGATTGCTCCAGCAGCTTGACTATTGCCTCGAAGGCGGCACGTCCCTTTACATAACGAAAATCAGAAGTAGATAATCAATCGTTAAGGAGCGTTTGTTTTGTTGTTTTGTTCATGTGTGTTTTGTTGTGATACGTTGTATATTAATGCCATACAACACTATAGTTATATATAATAGTATGCGAAATATGTGATCGTTGCCATGCAACACTATAGTTATATTGTTAAAGTTATGCCATACAACACTATATTTATATAGAACACTATATCTATATGTATATATATATATATAGATGCTGAATGCATAATATTCATTTGAGTATGTTCGATGCTTCCTCCGAAGTCCGCCAGTAGGAGGGCGTGCCCGACCTAACCCGAGCGCGCCGCGGCCGCTGCGCGGAG